GTAGTACCATGCAGCATAAAAACCATTTCTTTACTGAGTAAAAGCAAAATGGAAATCTCTCTGTGTATGGCACAAGAATCTGCCATGCTCTCCTCCTGTGTATGCCTTGTAGACCTGATCCTGCTGCCTGCCCCTGTGAGGAGTCCTGAGCTGGTCTCAGCTACATTATTCCTGACCCCAAGTGGGCACACAAACACCTGGGTCCACAAATGCCATATAAATACTCCACAGCCAGATTTGCACTGACAGCATGGCCCAGGAAGCTGCCTTTTAAAAAAGTCGTAGCTTTTTATCTGCTTCCAGTGAATCAGGAAAACCTCCCTTAATTAAAGGAGCTGCAGCATGATACCATCTGAGAAAAAAACGAGATTAAACTTTGTTTTTCTGTGTCTAGAGTTCCTTTCCAAGCTTTTTAAAGTTTTAAGTGGATTTAGATAGCCACATTGGCACCAATTTGTTGAAAGGAAGAGAGTCCCAGAAACCCTGCTAGTTTAGACCTGAAATCATCACACTGAAACTGTGTTAATTAAAACACAGTTTGGCCAATTAGCACTAACCTCTTGTTGGTTAACTCTTACATCTTAATTTAACCAATTTCTATTAATCTCATGTGTTTCCATGTGGCAGTGGCTTACTGGAATAGTTTTGGCAAGTCTGACTCTAGCGTGGCTCCATAGTGTCTCCCTATCTGCCTTCCTTCTCCCAGCACTCAGTAAAGTTTTTCCTGGCTACCTAAGTTCTGGCCTATCAATAGGCCAAGGCAGTGTCTTTATTCATTAATGGTAATCACAGAACACAGAGGGGAATCCCAAATCACTAAGGCTGTCGATGAATGTTTTATTTTTGACTCTTCTAATATATTTCATTAACCATTGCCATCCCTTTTCATACCATTACCATGAAGGTTGTAGTACCATAGCCCAGGAGTTCAATTAGAAATAAAATAATGTGACACCTTTAGCATTGTTCTCTTTACTATGGATTGTTTAGCACAATTGGGGGCTTTTGTGTTTCCATTTAAATTTTGGACTTTTTCCTATTTCCTTAAAGATTATTTTTTTGAATCTTGATAGGAATTTCAATGAATCTGTAGCCTTTTCCAATAATATGGATATTTTAACAACATTTATCTTGCTGATTTATGAGAATAGGTGTTTTTCATAACTTTTAATGTCTTACTCATTTTCTTTCCTCATAGTTTTAAAGATTTCATTGTGGGAGCCCTACACCTCTTTGATTAGGGGATTGTCACACTGACACAGTCTACTCTCACCTTGAGGAGAGTTCCATTGAGGTATTGTCTATGTTGAGTGTCCTGTGTGGATGTCTGAGGGAGGTTGTTTTAATTAGGGTAACATATGTGGGAAGTCCCAGACACTGTATGCAGCACCCTTTCCTAGGCAGAGAACCTTGAACTCTATGAGTAAGAAATCAGCCCAAGCACAACCAGAGAAGCAGTGAGCATGCCTGCATTTGTGATTTCCTGTTCTTGAGCATGGTGTGATGCATCTAACTGCTGCAAGTTCTGTAACTGTAACCACACCACAATGAAGAGTTTTTTACTTGCAACTGTGTTAAAATAAACCTTTTCTCCCTTAGGCTGTCTTTGTCAGGATATTTTATCACATCAATAGCAATGCATGTAGGGCAGGCATATCTACAGGCATTTATTTTGAATGGCATTGTATTCTAAATTCCCTCTCACTATGTATAGAAATATATAGGGGTGTATAGAAATGCTGCTGGGTCTTGTACATTCTGTTACACATTTTAGCGATTTTCTAGTAGAGTGTTTCTTCCTGATCCAAAAGTTTTCTGGTAGAGACTGTTTTAATTATTGAGTCATATCATCTTCAAACAAGGACAGTTTGATTTCTTCCCATGTTATCTGTAGTATATTTCTTTTTATGCTGTTTTTATTGGCTGAAAATCCAGGCAACTCTAGTAGTTAGTTTTCGTTTTCTGTGATAAAGTTCTCTGACAAGAAGCAAGTTAGGAAAGAATGGGTTCATTCTGGTTTAAAGTTCAGAGTGACAGAGTCCATCACAGCAAAAAGGGAAATGTGGTTTGGGGCCAGGCTTTAAAACCTCAGATCCCCTGAGTGATGTCTTCTGCCAGCAGAGGTCCACCTTTAACACAGCAGGGATCTCACATTAGCTGCCCCACATACCAGATGTTTCCAGGATAACTCATAACAGTAGCAAAATTACAGCTATGAAGTATCAATGAAAATAATTTTACGGTTTCCGGGGTGAGGGTCACTACAACGTGGGGAACTGTATTAAAGGGCTGCAGCATTAGGAAGGTGGAGATCTACCGTCCTAAAGCTTCCATAGCCTTCACAGACATCTCCACAAACTGGGCACCAAGTGTTCAACATTTGCGAAACATTTCTTATGCTCAGTCACTACGGGCACCCCAGTGAAAAGCACCTAGAGAACAGACCCACTTCTCTCCTTCCTTATTTTTTTTTATTGAAAAAATTTCTGCCTCCTCCCTGCCTCCCATTTTCCTCCCCCTCCTCCTACACTTCTCCTCCTCCCCCCACTCTTCTCCTCCTCCCCCCACTCTTCTCCTCCTCCCCCCACTCCTCTCCCCCTCCCCACACTCCTTTCCCCCTCTCTCTCCAGTCTGAAGAGCAGTCAGGGTTCCCTGCCCCGTGGGAAGTCCAAGGTCCTCCCCCCTCCATCCAGGTCCAGGAAGGTGATCATCCCAACAGGCTAGGCTCCCATAAAGCAAGTTCATGCAGTAGGATCAAAACCGAGTGCCATTGTCCTTGGCTTCTCATCAGCCCTCATTGTCCACCATGTTCAGAGAGTCTGGTTTTATCCCATGCTCATTCAGTCCCAGTTCAGCTGGCCTTGGTGATCTTCCAATAGATCAGCCCCACTGTCACAGTGGGTGGGTGCACCCATCACGGTCCTGACTTCTTTGTTCATGTTTTCCTGCCTTCCGCTCCTCATTTGGACCTTGGGAGCTCAGTCCGGTGCTCCAATGTGGGACTCTGTCTCTCTCTCCATCCATCGCCAGATGAAGGTTCTATGGTGATATGCAAGATATTCATCAGTATGGCTATAGGATAGGGCCATTTCAGGTTCCCTCTCCTCAGTTGCCCACGGAACTAACTGGGGACATCTCCCTGGACATCTGAGAGCCCCTCTAGAGTAAAGTCTCTTGCCAACCATAACAATGACATCTTGAATTTTGCATGCAAATGGATGGAAATAGAAAACACTATCCTGAGTGAGGTAACCCAGATCCAAAAAGATGAACATGGGATTTACTCACTCATAATTGGTTTCTAGCCATAAATAAAGGACATTGAGCCTATAATCGGTGATCCTAGAGAATCTAAATAAGAAGGTGAACCCAAAGAAAAACATATAGTCATCCTCCTGGATATGAGAAGTAGACAAAGTTGCCAGGCAAAAATTGGGAACTTGGGGCTGGGGTGGGATGAGAGGTAAGGGGAAATGGGGAGAGAAAAGTGAGTAGGGGAGGATGGGGGGAGTTTGGGGGAATGGGATGGTTGGGATAAAGGAAGGGTGGATATGGGAGCAGGGAAGTATATATCCTCTCCTTCCTTATTATTAGAGGAAACTGAGAGAGTTGCAGGGGGAGGGTCACAGGCCAGGCTCTCCTAGTAGCCTGGTAGATATCTTAGTTTTGGTTCACTAAAATGGAGCAGAGTTAAACAGGCAGTTCAAAAAAAAAAAAAACAACCAACCAAACAAACAAAAAAACCACTACCTACAGGCAACCAACTAGCAGATACCCCTAGTCTTCTGCTAACTCAGCAGAAACCCCAAAAACCTTTTTCCTGGCTTAGCAGATACCCAAAAGCCCTTCGGCTGGATGAGCAGATGCCCCCCAGCCTTTTACAAGCTAAAGATAGTTTTCCATACTCTGCTGCAGAAAGGACCCTAATCAATAAGTCCACCCACCAATCAGTCCCCAGACTAATCTGTCTTCTATCAATCAGCCCTACATTAATCCCTCCTCCCTGGATTTCCGCAAACTCTACTTAAAGGGAGCTTGTGACCTTCATTGTGGGTTGCCAATGTGCCACTTAATGTTGGAATTAATAAACCGTTCTTGTTATTGCTTGCTTGGCTGTTGGTCTTGGTCCCTAACAAAAATGGGTTACTTTTCTTGTGTCAGAATCCTATTTTTTTCATTTTATTAATTTTGACATAAGAAATATTTGTTATGTTTGTCATTTCCTCTGATTCCTATGTTCATAAAGACATTTTGCTATTAAGGGAAGTATCTCAAACAAAATGCAAAAAACAAAAATCAATCAAACAATAAGCCTCTTAAGTTTGTAAAAGCCCCTTTTCACATTGGAGATGTTCATGATTTCTTTTCCTGAACCTATTTACATGCTGAGCTCTATTCATTGTGTGGCATATGTGGGGCCATCTTTATTTCCTAATTCTTGTAGACACAAAGCCCTGGTGGCAGCAGGACTGGGAGCACATCCCAGCCTCTGACCCCCAGCAGGATAATGCCAAGGATGCTGAATAGAGGTGGTGGTGAGAAAATAGCTGAGCTCTTCACCTGAGAGGAAACTCAGCATGGCCATGGAGAGACACCCTCCTTTCTTCTCCAGAGAGAGGGCTGAATATCCAGGGACAGACACCCTCCTTTCTTCTTCAGAGAGGGGACTCAGCATGGCCAGGGAGAGACACCCTCCTTTGTTCTCCAGAGAGAGGGCTGAATATCCGGGGACACACACTCTCACTTTAAGGTTGTGTGGGAGTCATCTGTGGGTATGTGTCCTAGAAAGGAGGGTTGCAGGCCTCTTAAGCCCCCAGTTTTAAAAGATCACACAAATAAGTATTGGTATTTGCAAATAAATTTAATGAGTAGACAGAAATGCCTTTGATATTCCAACAATAGTCTTGCACTTTATAGACAGAAAGATAAAATCAAGAAAGTAAAGTTATGATTATGGTAGCAGCTCTTCATTCCTGTGAGCTAAAGATCTCGTGGAACTTTTAGGAAGTCTGTGGACAGTCTTCACTGTCGTATATAACATCCTGAAAAATAAATGAGGAAGTGATATAAATTTTGAACTTTGACTGTAGTGTCCAGTATTGAAAAGAAAAAAATCTTGTGCTTTTAATTATTTTTTCAGTATTTTCAATTACTATTAAATATTCCAGAAAGCTTCCAGAGACAAATCCGATTAGGTGCATGTGCTCTATCATTTAAGAAAACAACAAGAGTAATAAACAAAGATTTTTTTTTATTTTTTTTGAAAGTTTCCCCTTGATTACCGTAGCCTCTAACTTCCAACCTCCCCCCGTCCAGGTGTTTCCAATGGAATTCATTCTGAACCCACTCAGAAGCTAGAGGTCTCTGTGGCTGAAGGTAACTGATGACCCTCAGTTTGATCTGCTCTTCTATTATTCTCTTACCACTTGCTCAATTGAAACCTTTCATAACAGTGGGAGTGGCTTTAAAAATTCCTCAGTGCTCTAAAACTGAGATTTGTTAGAAGTGACTAGAGAGCCCTCACCAGTACTTTCAGGCCCTGTGTATTCCTGTGGTTTTAGTTAAAACTGGGCAGATTTCTAAGACTTGGCACCTGTGGGATGCTTGACTGGGAACAGGGACACTTTAGATGAATTCTTGGACCTTCATTTTTATGCTTGGAAAGAGACTATTATTATTAATATTATTATTATTTAAAGAGACTGTTAGTCCTGATGTTCTTATACTGGGGTCTTCTGTACTCGCTCTGAATTGGTGCAAATGGAAGGTCAATGGTCACTGGACCAAAGCAGGACTTCTTGAGAGTCAAGTATATTTTTTTCTGACTTAAGAATTTGAGTGATTTCTCCATGTCATGATGTGCTTATGTGTTTAAGTGTGTGTGCATATGTATGTGTGAGTGTGTGCATGTGTGTGCGTGTGTTTGAGCACATGCTCATGAATGTGCATGGTTGCATATGTGTACCTGTGTTTGTGTGATTGGGAAGTTATTGATAAAAGAGTGATCTCTGGGTCATCTCCTTTGTTTTTGTGTTTTTCTTGAATTATTTTAATATCCTCAAAATAATATGGAATGTGAGGTGTGTCTTTAATGGCTTTCCTGGACAAAATGTAACCACTAAATCAAATTATGTTGTTCAAAAATAGTACACAGACAATGTTTGCTTGGACCTTATTAGTCACAACGTTGGAAACTGTTCTTTTCATTAGTGAAAATATATGCATGTGGGTATATAAATATATATATATACACACAAATATATGCCAATATAAATGTATAAAATACGTAAGTATGTACATTTATATGTTATATGTATATATATACATCATTCAAATATAAATAGTTATATAATACAAAAAAAGGGAAAATGTATAATTACCATCATAACTCGATAATTGGCCAGAGTCTCCTCAGACTGGTCTAGGAAACATTGTTTCACTTCGCCCAAAGACTTTTGGTCATAAGGAAGAGGTGCGTATGACTTTATCACTTTCTGAAACTCAGCCACAGACACTGATGAGTTAGTAATCTGTGCAACGACATCATCCATTGCATGGCAATTAGAACCTGGAAAGACATGGCATTCATCACTGGAGGTCTGAACTCAATAGGGGTCACCTCTCATCACAAATATCTTGTTGGGTACAAGTAGACACAGATTAGCAAAGGTGGTGGGCGCTGCCAAATCTGGGACAGATGATGCAGGTTGCAAGATTCCACTCAAACACTGCAAACTCTGTCCCTGATATGGCAGCACAAAGAACCAAACCCTCACACACCCTTCACTGGGAAGGACACTAAAGAGATGGCAGGCCATTGTGCTGTGCATGGTAAGTATTGGGGTCATTGTTTGGTCAAAGTCTGCTATATTTTTTACTGTTTTTTTATTTGCTGAAGTCTTTATTGTGTTAAGCATTTCTTATAGTAGAAATTACCTGCTGTGCATTTAGGTGAACTAAAATGTTGGAGTGAATGTTTATTAAAACACAACTCTGGTGTTATAAAGTACATTAGGACACTTGTGCTGCCTTAGACTTATACAAAAAAACATAAGCCAGGGAGAAAGCTCAGCAATTAGGAGAATGTACTCCTCTTCTGGAAGCTCTGAATTTGATCCCAAGAACCCATGTCAGGCAGCTTAAAGCCACCCACCTCTAACTACAGCTTAGGGGTATTTGACACTTCTGCAGGTTCCTGTACACATGTGCACACACTCACCGCCAAAATATAGTGCTAGCGTCACATGTTTAATGGTGAATTCTATGTTCTGAGTCAGAGTGATCTTTCGCGCTTCAGTTTTACTCTTTTTCAACACACATAACTCCTTGGTCCTTGGTATTAAAGCTAATGTTGAATAGGATTTATTTCTACCACTTTCCAGCCATATATTATTCCTTGTTTTATAAAGCTGTGAATGCTGTCTTCAATACTAAGCAATATTTTGAAAAGTTGAGGCACATATAAGCTTTGAATTGTTATTATTTTTTACTGTATTGAGAACATTATGGAATATGTTAAGATATCCTATAACTACCATGGCTAGAATTGTATCTGCTTTGCTCTGTTAACTTGAGCATCTGAATCACAGAGCACCTTAAAAAGAAACTTTGGTACTTGAAGTGACCTCATGCAGAAAATGGAAGCCGACTGCAAGATTTCTTTAGTTTCTGCAAACTTGCCCATAACAAGCCAACAAGGGACATTAAATCTCGCTGACCTTTGTCAGCAATGGCACACAAGGAATGAGAAGCTTTGTTCTGATGGGACATAGTGAACTTTGTGTCTTTCTTTCTTGTAGCCGTGATGCATCTCAGTGCTACTTTGTAAACCCCGTGAAGTATTTTATAGTAGTTTATAAATTTTAGCCATTGTCACACTTAACTCTATCATCTGCATCAGAAGTATCATAAACCATAAACTCCTGTACTTGAAGTGATGTCATTGTTCAGCCAGGGGAAGAGAAAGAGGTCAAGGTTAACGCTGATTTTCGTATCAAGTCAACCGAGAACTCCACCTTCTTGTCATTTTGCACCAGCCTCTCAGATAAGTAAGACATAGACAAAGCAAATTATACAAAGTCTATTGCACTTGTGACATGGTTGTACTGACTTCATTCTCAAGGACAAAGCTTTACTTCTGTCATTACTTCAAGTGGATTTGGGTATTGTGAACTCTCCTCTCTACCAGCGGGACTAGGATGTAAGTGACCCAATGTGAAGGGGTCAGAACAAGCTTTGACAGTCTGTCTCGTGGCTCACAAACTGTTTACTCCTAGGTCTCATGATGCAGTTTGAGAAGTAACTCCTTCCACAGTTACTAAGTACAATTTTTAGGAAACCCACTTAGGTCCAGGGTCATTTATATTTTTCTCATTTTTTATAAAATAGCTTGTATCCAAATCCAAGACCTGCCATGGATTTCAGGAGAGCTGTCATCACCTTGGGACCTCCTGTGTGGTAGTGACACATCACACACAGCCCCAGCGCTGCATCTTTGATGGCTCTTTGACTATCTGGACTAGTGTTGAGTTTCAGGGCTATTGAGTCAGACACTTTGTACCACTGTTGACAAGTTCTAGAGCTGAGGCACTAGGACTTATTCCTGAAGAACAGAAACAGTGTGTGGTCTGAAGGTAGCCCACCCCTCCACAGTCCTCACCTCCCACTCCTCAACCCAACTCACCACCCACCCCGCCACAGAACTCACAGCCCGCTCTTCCAAAGAACCCACCGCTTACCTCTCCATAGAACTCACCACCCACCCCTCCACCAACTCACCTCCCAACCCTTCACAGAACTCACTGCCCACCCCTCCACAGAACCCACTGCCCACCCCTCCACAGAACTCACTGCTGGCATAGCAGCAAATGGGGATGGCGGCCAGCAAGAAGACCAGGACCAGCTTCATGTTGAGGAAACCCTTGTGGGTTGGGCTTTGGTACAAGGTGGAGATCAGGGAACTTTCTGCAGTTGAGCGCTCAGCATTCTGCTATTTATTTCTTGGGGGAGGCCCTTTAGTGTCACCCAGGAAATTAGGACGCAAGTTATGAGAGCAATGTGGCATTGTAGCAGACAACACGAGAGAACATGAAACAGAGCCAAGGAAGCCTATGATTTGTTTGTACAAAACAAGGAAACAAATTATGAAGAAGGACAGTTGGTGACCTTTCCGTGAGGTCTTCCAAAAAATGAAGATTGCAACACTGTAGTATGATTTTTAAAATGATACTGTTTTCCCCTTTATACCCTCACTCCTTCATTTACTCCTCTTCATCTTCTGTCTTCTTCATCTTCTCACTCCTTTAATTCTTTCCCTTTCTTCTCCTTCTTCATCTTTCTTTGCCTATGTCCTTTTCTTGTTTTATTTTTTCCAATTTTAAGCACCTTCATTTTGTTTACCTGTGTCTGATGGGTCCAGTGGCTTGGGTCAGTGCACAACCCCACCCCCTCTCATAAACAGGGTTCCTGTTGACCCTCTTCTTCTTTGACTTCCAGAGGAAGTTTATTGGACAGCAGACCTTACTGAAGCGTCTTATGAAGAGTCATTTTGTTAGATGAACATTCACTGTTCATTCCAGATAGGTAAACATGTTCCTTCTTCAGTTAAAAGTCTAGGGTGTCACTTCTCCTGAATCAGGAACACTGTCAACTAATAGAGATCCCTGTTGCTTTATGGGAGTTAGGAATGATGTCTTATGGTGAGTGACTCATGCCACTGTGACTTCAGAACCTGGGGATAGCATCTGCTCCTGGCTTTTCCTGGGGAAGCTATCATGTCTCTCTGAGTTTCCTTTTACCCATGGTAAAGTGAGTATAGATAAACCTGCCGATATTTCATCAGGACAGCAGATTCAGCATGTAAATAACCTTCCCATATTGCCTAGCTAACCACTGACATGTGGGGCTTTTCCACTTCTGAAACTATGGACATTAGTATGACGGTTCCTCAAGTTAAAAAACAAACAAATAGCAAACAAAAACAATAAAATCAAAAGCAAAACAATTACTTTAAAATCCAGTTAGATCATGTGGGTATATAATGGAATGCCAGAGATGGCATGTACATCCATAATTATTATAGCATTAGTCAAAATAGTCAAACTATAGGATCAGCTTAGATGTTTATCAGAAGATAACTAGACAATGAAAATATGGCATTTATACACAATGAATTTTTATTTAAAGGTGCATGGAATTAATGTCACTTACATGGAAATAAATGGGCCAGGATATATCAATTTAAACAAAACAGTTGAACCGAGAAAGAGAAACATCACATTTTCTATCATATACACACCATGTATGTATATATCTATCTTTATTTGTATGGCATGGAAGTGGAGGATTTACTATGTGTTAGTGAGGAAGGGAAAGGAGGGCGTGGATGTTACCATATGACCCAAGTAAATGATGCATCTGTGTGGAAATCCTAAAGGAAATTCATTGTTTTGTCATTAACTAAACCTTGAAGGTATATTAAAAGAGCAGTCTTCCCCAAGAAGAAACATTCAGATAAAAATCCAGTGGAAGTTTTCTTCCAGGCATTAAAACATACACCAGTCTGTTTTGGAAGACGTAATTAAAGGGCATCTCCTATTAACTCTAACCTGCACTGAATTTGCATTTAATATGAAAAATGCTTTGTCTCATGTCTTGTGTAGTTCATGTTTTAATTTGAGAATCTATAAAACATAACCAGTAAATGTAAGATTTAAGAGAATGCATGTGTACATGCAGGAGAGAGAAATATGTGTAGAAAGAGCAATACTTTATCAATGAGAACAATGACACCATCAGTTGAAGGCACCATCCTATACAGAGCATGGGGCAGCACTTGGGAGAAGGTACTGGTTTCTGAAATAAGTGGATGGTGATATCGTGTAGCAGATTTGGGAGTGGATTCTAGAAGGAATAGGATAGGATTTGCTTAAAGGAAAATATCACCTGCTAACATCCAAAATGGTGGGAGAGGTAGGGATTTTGAAACAAATTGTAGACAGAAAGATTGTGGATAGTGTCACATGAATGACACAATGATAAGAAAAATAAAATTTATTCCAGTATAAAAAAGGGGGGATGTGTACGTGAGCCAGAATGACAAAACCCATTAATACTACAAATGTTTAGTTTAATGTCACAATCATTTGTGGCATTTCCTTCTCATCATTAAGCAGGAGCAGAAGCCAAAAATGAAATTGATTTAGTCAAGCACATTAAGTATAAACACGTGTCTTATTTGTGTACTTTCATCTCATTGTCCTTGGCAGGATTCATTCAATCCAAAATTGAGTGACCATGATGTGTGATATCATCTCTTTGCCCAATCCTTATCTGGGCTGTTCCTGTTTCCCAAGTCCTTCCCAGTGGACCTGTCTCTTTTTTTCAGCTGAAATAAGAAACCTTAAAAGATTCCTTGCTCATATATAAACTTCTTCACATGAGACAGCTGTTTACAAAGGAGAGACCATCTTTTCTTTGACCTGAAAGATTTCCCAAGACATTTGATGCAGATTTGTATGTGAGAAACCAAATATCAATGATTCAAACCAGAAAGACTCATTTGAAAATTCATGAAGTCAAATGCTCAGCCTAATGGTGCTGTTGACATTTTTCCCTTTCCAAAGGTGGCTCTGTTCAAATTTCCAACAGTTAAGGGGCTGAAGCATTCCAGCATCTTTCAATATCCCTCTCAATGGACCAACTATTTATGGATCACACTGAACTACCAGGCATTCTCATCTTCCTCACACATGCCTTAGCAGATTAACTTCCTCCTTAGAGAAATAAAGAGTTCCCAAACCAGGCTTCGGGTGCTCACACAGACCAGATATTTAAGGAGAGAACTCTGGACATTGTAATGTTGGATGACATTAAGATGTAAGTTGTTGAAGCCAACTATTTATGAACAACTATTTATGGATCATAGGCTAGTCCAAAGCACTGTAGTTTTTAAACTGTCTCAGGGTTGTACATTGCATGACTTATTGTTTTGGGAGATAAAATATTTGATGATGAACAATCATGTTTATACAACTATTGGCACTTGTAAGACTTAAGACATAGATGAACATTTTGGCATATTACAGTTCTAGCCATACTGAAGGAAATAATATTGTGGGCGAGACATTTTGTCCAAGTGATTCGTGTGGTATAAAATATATACATACATCTCTACAAAAGGGTAAGCATTATCATGCTTAAATGTTATCTTCAGGTTTTTTGATCACAGGTTACAGATATGTATCTGTTTCACAGTATTTGGGATCAGGATAAACCACAATTTATTACTGCACCTTGTTCTTGGTCATATTAGCCTGGTCCACACTGAACTACCAGGCATTCTCATCTTCCTCACACATGCCTTAGCAGATTAACTTCCTCCTTAGAGAAATAAAGAGTTCCCAAACCAGGCTATGGGTGCTCACACAGACCAGATATTTAAGGAGAGAACTCTGGACATTGTAATGTTGGATGACATTAAGATGTCTGTTGTTGAAGCAACAGAGACCTTTCCTTCATGGATCACCTTTGTGTTTCAATCAATTCCAGTGTTTGTGCTACTTAGCTATGCTGTTTTTTAGACCACAGATACCATATCCAGCACTGGACCCTCCTTTGCATCTAAAGACACAGCTGTCCACCATTCTGTAAGTCATTTACCACAAGCCAGTCCATCTACACCCCACAGGAAGAACCTCTCTATCTCTCATGGCCTCTTTAACTCAGAGATCCAGCCTGATAACTACACACAGGTCCCCAAGACTACCCCTGTTGTATTTTATTACACATGATTGACTCTCCCATTTCTGTGAATTCACATAGGCACCAGGCCTTGGGAAGAATTAGAAAGAATATGAGAATCCTCTCAGAAAGAAGCATTTGCCTTTCCCTTCTGACATGGAGTTGGAGAGAGAGGGAATTCAGCATCAATGTTAGGTCATGGCACAAGAAATGTCTCCCACCTGAATGCACACATGGTGCTTTATGTTTCAGCTAACTCACTCGTGAGACTTGGCTATTTTTAAGCTTCAGAGAAGTCTGAAGAGAGATATAGTATAGTATGAGCCTGCACGGGACAGGGGCATGTCAGGTGTGGATAAATGTTTCTGGGAAGACAGAGGAGTGAGCAGAAGCTTTCTTTGAAAGGATAGACATGTTCTGACTCCAAGGACTGTGATAGGCTTGTTTGTCTATTTGCTTGCTTGCTTTGACAGTGCCTCACTGTGTAGCCTAAGGTGGCTTTTAACTCGGGACAACCATACTGTTTCACTCCCTGAAGTGCTAGGTGTCAGACAGTGGTCACCTCACTGAGTTCCAGTAGGACTCTGGGCCGAGAAATATGGTAATTCTTTAGAAAACCCAGGAAGTTTAAAACAGGAAGTGAGAAACCCCTCATAGGTTACTTGGAAGGAACTGGAAAGGGAGGGACTGAGAAACTGGACTTCAGCTGACAGATGCAAAATGTCTACTTGGCTACCTTATTGGAGTGTTCTTATCCCTTTTTCTGCAAGGTGTGTTGACCAATGGGGCATGTGTGAGGACTCCAAGTCAAACCATGTGTGCTATCTTCATGGCTACACTGTTGGCTGATGGTGTATGCTGACCATATACAAACTCTACTCCACCCTTCTAAATCCCACAAGACCCCTGTATCTCATCCCACAATTTCCTTCCTTTCCCTTCCCCTCCCTTTCCTTCCCTTTCCTTTTCCCTTCCCTTCCCTTCCCTTTCCTCCCTTGCTTCCTTCATTCCTTTTCTCCTCCCTCCATCCTTCCCTCCCTCCCTCCCTCCCTCCCTCCCTTCCTCCCTCCCTCTGTCCATCCCTTCATTTCTTCCTTCTGAGTCTAGTTAGTGCTGAGCTTAAGCACAGGGGCATGTGGCCATCCCCTGGGCCTAGGCAATCTACTA